AGATGTGTACTTAACCTGCAACCCAGGGATGATTTTACACCCGCATTCATCCCTTACAATAGCTCAAGGGAATGGACAGTCTAATCCCCATTTTCCAAGGAAGACAATGAGTCACAGAGAGGTCATGTGACTTAACCAAGATCACACACACCCAGTGAGTGCTGGGGTCAAGAAGAGAACCTAGTGCTCTAACTCCAGAGCCCATGCTCTTAACCACCAGACCGGACTGCTCCTTGGATCTACCTGTTGCTTCCCACAATATTGAGAAAACCAAGATGTCTTCACTACCAGGTTCCCACACCCCTGAGCCCAAGCTGGGACAAGCATTCCCACCTACAATGTAGCACTCACCTGGAATTGCTGGCAGGGGTAGCGATGAAGGTCCGGGTGAAAGCACGAACAGAACACTGAGACTTTCCCTCCACTTTAACAACAAACAACAATACCCCTTTAGAGTTACACATGCTTCACGTGCCCACACAGTGTTCCCAGTCAGGGTCTGACATGATACTCATGCTGAAGGGGACAATTGTTCACTGGGAGTCGGGGTGTCTGGTATAGGGATGGCAACAGTAGGAACAATCTGCTTCCAGTGACAAGGCCTCTACTATGTGACAGGTGGTATGACAACCATTTCACAAGGTCATTTGATTCATTTTTTCACAGCTGCCTGAGAGGTGGGTGTTATTAGCCCCATTTTGCAAACAAGGAAACTTAGAGGTTAAGTAACGACCCCAGGTAGTTCTCAGAATAAGGATCTGGGATGACAGCCATGAAACTCATTAGGGAAACAGACTGTGTCCCTAATGCCCCAGCTGTGTGGGGCAGACAGGCATAGAGCCGGTTCAGACCAGGATGGTTTGGGGACAGAGTGGAGGCAGGAGAACACAGCCGGAATAGGAGGAGAAGGAAAGGGATCAGGGAAGCTGGGACAGTTCTGAGAGGGAGCCCAGCCAGCGGGGAGGGAGCAGTGGGGCATCTGGGGAGGGGCTCAATGCATGCTCACCTTCCTTGAACACCCCGTTAACAGAGAAACAGAGCATCGTCTCCTGAAATGGAAGGGCCCAGGTGCTAAGTCAACTAAACTTCCTACCCATCCATGACTTTTGGGGGCTGCCCTTGGGAGGAAGCCAGTGCTCACCGTCTGGAACCACATGTCCACCAAGAAAGAGCTGAGGTCATGCTGTGTTTTGGGCAGTACACAGAGGGAGCCCACGATGTTATGTTTTGTATGCTTCAGTGGCTGAACACACAGGGCTATGGGGGGAGGAGAAGAAAGTGAAGATCAAGGGTTGCCACACCCTGAGCCTTATAATTACCCCTGCACACCCCCTTTCCCTGCCCAATCTTCCTCATCATACATGCACAGGGTTCCTTGGGCTTCTTCATATTCCTGTTTTCCTTGAAGTATTCGCACAAGCTGCTTCTAGTAGAGAAAGAGGAACAGAAGGTGGCGGTCTGGCCGGTGTGGGTATTTCCAGGAGCTTTCCTGTATCCACTGGGGAGCCACAGGGCCCAGGAGCAGAGTTGGAGCTTTGCTACTCACGGGGCTGGGTCCTCGGGGTTGAAGGGAATGGCCAGGGAGAAGCAGGCTTCATCATGGTAGGCATCAAGGAGACCCTGACGGTCTCCAGAATCGTAGATCAAATAGTATCTGTTGGAGAGTAATGAGGACAGTCCATCTCTGTGGTCTGGACCCCAAATGAGATGTCAAGACCCACTCAGCAGTTGTGAGCTTGGGTGGCCTCACCCATCCCAGCCAACCCCTTCCCCAGATTCCCAGGAGTACTTACTGCTGCAGGAATTGCAGGACTAGATTCTTCAGTGCATCAGATCCTTTGTAACTTTCCTGGAATCAAAAGACATTTGAGATTATGCAGCTGATAAAGCCTCCCTTGTAATAGCCCAAATGTTGTTGATCAATTTTCCCTCACCTTGCAGGGCTTCATCAAGCAGGGTGTGTCAGTATCAATGATAATTGGTGATGGTAACTCCTGGCCATCCTGGAGAAGGGAAGAAGTCAACAGTGGAGACCAGGGAGGCAGCCCTGTATGATCAGGGGAAAAGATGAGCCCAAGAGAAGGTGAGGGCCAGAGGTTAGGTATGAAAGAGCACTGGAAATTACATGGGCAAGATTACAGTGAGTGTCTTCATCATGATGTCCTGAAAGTATTTACTATTATATGCAACTTGTGTGTGTGTGTGTGTGTGTGTGTACATTTTTCCAGAGAACATATTCATGTTTTTTTCAGGAGTCCTGGTCCCCTAAAATGGTTCAGGTTCTGACACAAACCTGTAATCTAAGCAAGGCCCAAAGGGCTTGAGGGCAGGTGTGGTGGTGATCAATGTTAGTAAGAAACGATGATGAATGTAGTCACTTACCAGGCGTAACAACTTAGGAAAACAATCCTTGATGGCACTGTCAAAAATCCAAAATAGAAAGAAGTGACTGATAGGTCAGGGTTGCAAAGCCTTCCTTCTACACTTTCCCTCCCTTCCCTCCCTCTCCTTTCTACTGGGTAGCTCCCACCTAGATGGCCCTGACTCCCTTCTTCAGTGCCACAAAAAAACAAAATTTAGAGCTCAGGCTCCAGGGATGCCTTTCCCTTCCTGCCTCCCTTCCTTCCTCCAAGTCCCCACTGAAGACTCCAGAAAGTGGGAATGGAGTGGGAGTCCAGTGCTCTACTACCTCATTAGGGGTCCAACATGCTCCAGGACCATGATACCCCCCCCAGGGATAGCCCAGGATGCTGGGGTAGGGAGGTGAGTGAGGCAAGGCCCAGGAGGTAAGAAGGGAGAGGTAGGGGGATGAAGACAGAAGAGGGAGTGAAGGTAGGAGGGGAGAGGTGGGAGAGACATAGGGGAACCAGAGACAAAGGAGGAAGAGAAGGCAAAACAAAGGGAAGGGAAAGAAGCTCTACCATGGTGGTGGGGGTCAGGGAGGAAGAGAGAAGGGGGAAATGGCTCTCTGCCTGCGGGCCTTTCCTTCATCTGCCCTGGCTGGCCCTGGCATCCGACGTAGCAATGGAAAACATGCAGGTGTTGGGCTGGGGGCCCATCGCATGCTGGCTGAAACTTTGTCACCCGTGTGAACTCAGTCTGAGCCGGGCATGGGAAATGAGGCAGCCACGGGGGCAGGAGACCTTCCCCAGAGGGAGTAGAGGGTCAAGCCCCAGGTCAGCATGGGGCTGAGGGTCTGTGGTCCCCTCTTATGATCACCGCCTTCCCTCCTGATGACCCCAGTGCACCTGTTCCAGTCCCAGTCGGTTCCTTGCCTGAGGGATTATACACATGTCGGGCTACCCAGGGCTCCTCTGAAGGACCAGTCAGGATGCTGTCACGTGCGGAGGGAGGGGAGGGGGCAGTGCCTCTGAGAGGCCTGTCCTCCTGTCCTCTCAAGCACCTCTGCCCTCTGGCTTCCATTCCTGCCTCAGGAAGCCCTCTGCTCACTAGCAGTCACCCACTTCTGGCCCCTTGACTCAGGGAACCCTAGTTTCTCCCAAGGAGGACCTTGCTCCTGACATTGGGTCAGAGGAATGGATGTCACGATGGCAGTCCCTCAGGACCTCGGCCCTCATCATGGGGCAGGAAAGCCACCATGGCAGCCTGAGATTAGAGAGGGCAACCCTTTTGGAGCAAAAGAAGGAGGTCCCCTCTCAGAACAAGTGAGGGAAAACCCATCTCAGCAAGGGGTAGGAAGGCCTGTTTTAGCATGAGGCCCTGGACTGGGAGGACCATTCTCAGTCCAAGGCACCAATATCTGGCTCAAGACTGGTCGCTCCTGGTCCTGGTGAGGAGGAGGAACCTTGCTTCTTGGAACACACTCTTGGAGGGCATGCTAAGGAACACTGAATGCATAAGGAGGGCACTTTATGTAATGAGCCCTGTGTGTTATATGGAACTGATGAATCACTAAATTCTACTCCTGGAAATAATAACACACTAAATTTTAACTAAATTGAATTTAAATAAAAAAATTTTAAAAAGATCATTTTAAAAAAAGCAAAAAAAAAAAAAAAAAAAAGAACACTGGCTGCAGAGAGGTAGAAACAGACCCCAGACCAGGAGAATAGGTGAGCAGGTCAGAGGAAGGAAACTCCTTACAGGTGAAGGACACACAGAGAAGAGAAGGTGGGACTTATGGTCCTTCTAGAGGACCAGGGTTGCAACTTCCTGCACACCTGCATCCTCAGGGACAGTTCAGGCTCCCGGGACCAAAGGTTCCCAGGACGTGTGAGAGGTGTTCACACTGACCTTATGTAGGTGGGCTGGTCTGGAAAGGTGTCACACAAGGGGTTCCCTTCTAGCCAAAGCTCTTCAAGATCCAGCCCTTTCATCTTGTTTAACTCCCACACCAAGTTCAGCTGAGAAATATGGGGAAGAAACTGGAAAGGAGTCCGAGGGAAAGAGAGACACACAGGTCCCTGCACCCCCAGTCCCCACCTTTCCACACAGGTACCTTCTGTTGCCTCCTGTCATCACTTGTATGAGCACTACCACCCACTGACAACCCCAACTTTGATCTGGCTCCCTCTTCCCACCTCATTTTTGGAGAGGTCCAGGATCTTGACTGTGGGGACCATCTCTATGATGTCAGATAGGCCATCCAGCCTGTACAGTTTGTTGTTGCTCAAGTTCAAGGACAACAGCTGTTGGTGAA